GTCTGCTAACGCCAAGGCATAAATCTGGGGCATGTGTTCATTTATCTTAACACTTTCCCTTTAACTCTCAAGAACATAATATGTCGTTGTGCCTCTGGTGCACAGCACTTAATTTAACCAAACACTTCCTGCATGTCCTTGAACTGATAATAGATTTGTTTTAGAAAAAAAAATCACATTTTTGTTTATTCTTTGAAAATATCATATATATAATATATATATACAATTTGTATATATATATTATATATATAGCCTATTTTGGTCATAATTATGCCCAATTCCCATTTCCAACACCCTCAGGCCTCCTCCAACACATCTCTCTCCCATTTCATGCCATGACTTTCCTTTTTTTAATAATTCAGAGTTCAGTTAGTGTTGACTGTATGTTCATGGATGTTGCCATCCACTGGGGCAGAGGTAACCTGCCAGTGGGCCCAGCCATCAAGGAAGGTGACTCTCCCCCACACTTTAGTAGCAGCCAACTGCCAAGAGCTTTTCCCCAAGCAATGGAGCTTTGAAAGTTCCTTCCCTATCCATACTGGAATGCTGACTGGATCCGTCTTGTACAGGAAACCTTAGCTACAGTGAATGAATGTGTGCTACAGCAATGGCATGTCCAGAAGACATTGTTTCTATCCTTCCTCTTCATCCTCTGGCTCTGAGCTCTTTTGCAGCAAAGAAGATTGACCCATGGAAGGACTCCAAACTCAAGGTAGCACAGCTGCCTCTCATAGGCCTCACTTTAAAACTTAAGTAAGAGCAGAAAGGTGAGTTTGGGGGAGTATTTACTAATGATTTTAGCTTGCTTGAGCTAACAGCAAATTTCAGAGACAGGGTAGCTCACATACAGCAAAAGGTATTTATTTTTTTTATAGCCCTTGTTCTGGGAAGTCCAAGAGCCTTCATGGGCAGATTCAGTGTCTCATGAAGATCTCCTTCCTGGTTCATAGATGGCATATCTAGCTGTGTTTTCATGAGCTGAAGAGCTCCCGTGGGCCCATTTTACTGCTGCTTCCTTCCAGTTAGACTCCTCATGAGCTACCAAGTCACCCTGTCTGTTCACTTTACCACTGCGGTGAGGATTAGGTTTCCTGTGAATTCCGGGTGGCCTCCACCTCTAGATTCTAGAGTCTAGAAGACAGCAGGCCCACTCCTCAGTCTGTGCTCAGTACTGCGTTGATCCAATGGATAATCAGCATGGAGGAATCAGTAGACCCTGTTTTTGCTCCTAAGTTCCTGAAAGGATTTACACACTGAGGGTATGCAAACTCTCAGTGTGCATTTGCATCATTGCTCTGACATGTGAACTAGGCACTTGTTTGAATTTAAACTGCCGAGTTACATCATTGGAAATACATCATTAATTTAAACAATTAGTACACACTAGTATTGCTCCAGATCCAATGGATTGCTGTAGATAGGTACCTGCGATGTTCCTCTGTGGCAAATGCGCAGTTGTTCGTCAGGAATGATTTTTTTATATGCATACAGAACAGTCTAACAATCACTCTCGTATTTTATAAATTAAAAAAAAAACTCTATATTTTTGCCAAGAAAGACATAATGATTTAAGTTTCATGAAAAATGAAGGTAACATTGGAAACATTTCTCTAAGAGATCCTTGAGATTAACACTGAAAAAAAAAAAAAAAGAGAATACAAAGCCAGACATGGCATTGCCTGAATTCTCAGCAGAAAGGAAATAAAGGAAGAAGAGCAAGAACGCAAGACTAGCTACTACCTACATATAAGATTTGAGGCCATCTTGTGCTATATAAGACTCTAAACTCAAAAAAAAAAAAATCAGGAACAGAAAATAGCACTAAAAATGATTAGGTTTGCTGGGTGGTGGTGGTGCACACCTTTAATTCCAGCACTCAGGAGGCAGAGACAGTCATATCTCTATGAGTTTGAGACCAACCTGGTTTACAGAGCAAGTTCTGGGACAGCCAGGGCTACACAGATAAGCCCTGTCTCAAAAATTCAGAAGAAAAAATTATTAGGTCTGTTTTGCTCTTTGCAATGCCTGGGATTATCCTTGAGGCTTTCTGCATGATAAGCAGGCACTTGCCACTGAACTATACTCCCAGCTTGTTGACTTTCTTCACTAGTCTCCCCTACCTTTGTGTTTAACTTATAAATAGCATCCCTTTGTATTGTTTAAGTTTTGTGCTATGGTTTGAACCCAAAATGTTCCTGGAGAGAGTTTTTACGTTGAAGGTTTAGCTTTCAATGTAGCATTGTTCAGAGGGCCGGCACTTGGAGCATGAAGGCTCTGAGTTACTGAGTGGTTGCGTTCTGTTCCTCTGTTGGAGGAAGTAGGCCATGGTCCATAGTCTTTGAAGGGATGACTTTGTACCTTGCTCTGCCCTTTCCTCTCTCGATCTCTGTTTCCTGGTCACCATAAAGTGAGCAGGCTTATTGGACCATGTTCTCTTTGCCATGTTCAGGCCCAGGAAGAACAGCCAAGAAATAATGCCCTGAACTCTTAGAACCTTGAGCCCCCCAAATAATTTGAAATAGTCAAATAGTAACAGTGATGGAGAGCTGATTGCCATGTTTTTGAGTATAGATTGTGAACCCATCCATGGGGGCAGTATTTATTAAATTTTCTCATTGGCATTCTGTGTTAGTTACTTTTCCTGTTGTTATGACTTAATAGCAGACAAGAGAGCTACTTAAGGAAGAAGGGTGAATTTTGGCTCACAGTTTGAGGGTCTAGTCCAACATAGTGGGAAAGTCATGGCTGCAGGAACTTAGAGCAGTCTTGGGCTCCAGCTCATGGAAAGATGTTGTGTACAGTCAGGATGGGTCTCTCAATCTCACTTAAGCCTATCTAAATAATCCTTCACAAGTATGCCTAGAGGCTCATCTCCGTGACTCTAGGCTGTGTCAAGTTGATAGCACTGACCATCACACATCTCATTCATTCAGAGAGGAGACCAATAGTGATGGTCATGCTTGCTCTTCTCAGATCTTTGCTCCTTTTGCTCTTTGAGTGTCTCATTTTGTATTTGTTCTCTTTGAGAACAGAGCAGTGTCTAGAATGATCAGAACTACAAGACAGTCTCAGGAGCACAGATGGAAGTGTAAACAGGAAACCAGTGGGGAGTTAATTGTGTGGCATCTGGCACGGAGGTCCAGCAGAGGCAAACAAGCCATCTTAACCACTACTTTTTGACAAGATGGGGTTGCTCCCTGGAGACAAAGGTGGAAAATAGAGCCCCTTATTCTTATGTCCTCTACAAATGATGTGTTGTTAGCAACCACTAATGGTAGAAGGAACCTCAATTACCCCACACATCTAGGACATAAATAAAATGTCTCTCTGTGTCCCCAGATGCTTCAAAAATGGATTTTTTCCATTGTTACATTAAATGGGCTACTGAGTTTTCTAGTTCTTTCTCTCTCTCTCTCTCTCTCTCTCTCTCTCTCTCTCTCTCTCTCCCTCCCTCTCATATACACACTATGCACATATACACATATATATGTGTGCGTATATATGATATATATTAATAATCTAGTTTTAACAGAACAGTGTTACTACCAACTATCTCTCATCCTGACATCCTGAATTTCATTGCTGTCATCTTGCCTGGAGATGAGATTATAGTTCCTATTAAAAAGGCTGGAGAAAATGACAGCAGCTGTTTAGTTCCCATTAATTAGAAAGAAAGACTGAAGAAAATAACCCACTGATGAGTTCAGGGGAGACAGAGACCAACTACTGTTGTGAGATTGAAACCAGGATAGTCTTAGAACCCCGCGAACATCCAAACATCGCATCCAACACACAATAAGCACAGATTTCTGAAATAAAAACTTTGGTACTCCATGAAATTGTTTTATGCCAACATGTTTTCTGACAAGTGTGTATGAGCACCAGCTTGTAGTATCAGGGAGGGGAAACCGGGAACTGGGAGGTATGGAATTTGCTAGTTCAAATGATGCAGTCCACAAATCAAGTGTTGTTCAGAGTAAGAGAAAATACTGACAATGCTTTTTGATTCTGAAGTTTGATTAATGGGTTGAACTATTCGGAAGCAAAACTTGTTGTCAGTGGGGAAAAAAAAATCAGTCCTGGGTCTCAGACAAAGGTTTTATTTTTTTTCCCAAAGGGTAGTAAATCTCAGAATTTGGTGTTTCCTTTATTTATTTCCAGATTGGCAGATAGCTTTTGTTAGGTAATACAAGATTTGGATCATAATTCCACTATTGTCATCTAATGAGTATGAAAATATGATATAATATTATTTCTTGGTCTTTTTGTGTATAAAATGAGTAGACTCAAGTTCATCAACATTGGGACTATTTTCATAGGCTTTAATTATCACAGCAAAGACAAGACCAAAGTTGTATTTCTAGAAATGTATGAGATTGTTTCAAGTCCAAACTCACAGGAGAGCACAGAATAGGCTCGTTAAAATGTGAAGAGAATGATCTTCAGCTGCCTATGAGATTCACCATCAAACAGGAACTGTAAGTCCATACATGGTTGACATTGTCTGGGGTATGTATATATAAGATAAGCAGAGTCCTATCATATTTCTATTTTTTAAAAATCAGATTCATTATGGTATTTGACCCTTCATCAAAAATACTTGTTAGATAGAGGTTGGAACAGATCCATGGTACAGTAGTTGCCTAGTAACTATAAAGCCCAAGGCTTGGTCCTTACTATCACACAAAACAAAACAAACACAAACACAAATTCACATCAAATGGTGTTAGAATCCTTGTGACTATCACTCCCTGATACCTGAACTGAAATCGTCATTTTGGAAACTATTATTTTTTTTTTGCTCTAGCAGTCTTGCGCATAAAATTTTGTTGAGTTGATGGAAAACAAATCTTTACTGTCAACAAACTTAGTAGCTGAATGCTTATGAGTCAAAAATGAGACCATGGGACAGTGAATCACTCTCTGCTTCTGGCACCTGTGACTTGCTAGCTTAGCAAACAGTGCATCTTCGGCAAAAGGGAACTAAGAATGATTGATACCTTCGATGGCAAATGGTTTCCCCACAGTCAGAAGCTTGCAGTCAGCATCTATTGACACTTCATAATCCAGAAGGGCTTTGTCCATGATGAAGGCATCTAATTTCTCTGGATCGTTCCTGTAGTGAGAACCAACAGGAAGAAGAACAAAAAAGGTTCATTACTGGGTAGGAAGGAGTAGCCTGACAGTTGGCTTTGATTTGGGAACAGAAATTTGGATACCAAGGGCAGCACATACTTGCCAGCTGCTGGCCCTTGTTGTCATCTCATTCACTTGTAGAGTAGATACCAGGGGTATAGGCATTCTTTCTATTCTTTCTAGTGTGCAGATGTTCTTCCCCATGGGTTTATCTACCAACTTCTTTTCTGACTACTAAGGCCAACATCAAAGACAGCTGTAACTCTTAATTGCACAGGAAGGCACACAGCGAAGGCTGATTTCTACTATTTATCAAAGTAATTTGAGGTAAGTTCTGCATTCAGTGTGCTACATACATTTAATTATTCATCAGGACTGGAGTGAGGATGGGGATGAGGCTCAGAAATCTGAAGTGTTTTGATTTAGCCCACACACCTGGTTAAGTGTTGGAGACAAGTATTCTTGTGACTCAGATGTGAAACTTTTGTTTTTTTTTTCCTGTCACAATCACCATTTTGTTATTCAGAAATTGACTATAATTTTATATTTGGGAATAGATACCAAAGAAATACTTAGAAAAAAATCTAGTGTTCTTGGAGAAAAGAAATTTGTGGTCTCTTTTAAGTCCATGGCATAACATCAAATAAATTGAAGGTGAAGCTTATGCAACAAATCTTAGTGGTTCAATTTAATAATCTGTCTCCAGAGAGCCCTGTTTTTTTTTTTTTAACCACTTCATAGGTAATTCAGAATAATTTAAGTTAGGTCCACTAGTCTTGTACTAGTTAATTGACAATTGGCTTAAGCTGGTATTAAATACCTTAGGTGTCTTCATGAGAGTTCTTTGTTGTTTTGAATATGGGTGTAGATATGGCCTAGCAGAAAACTATGTTTAGTTCCAGGCTGGACAACCCTTTCAGGGAATGCAGAGTTTGAAAGGAAGCCAGCTAGCAACTTCTTCGTTTTTAGCCATCCAAAATCCCTTCCATTGAAGGATAGAATTTATACAATTAAGCCTTTTCTTCTCTTTTTATTAATGTATATTAATTATAAAGAATAATGGGTTTCATGGTGAAATTTCTTTCCTCCACTCTCTCTCCTACCCCCTCCCTCTTAACCTCCTTACCCCCCTTAATTTCTTCCTTCTTTTCCTCCCTTCCTGCTCTGTTTCCGACAAAGTCTTACCACATATTCTAGGCTGACTTCAAACATCCTCACTTCTGCCTCCATCTCGTGATAGGTAGAGTTCAGACTTGAGCCGCCTCTTTCATTCATGCTGGTATTTTTATTCATGCATGTAATAGTTTAACCATATTCTCTTTCTCTTCCCCTTTGCTGTGTTCTCTCCCCAATCTGCTTAAGAGTTTCCCTTTACTAATGATCATATCCTCCCTCTCCTTCTTCCCTCTTTCCTCTCACCATCTTATTCCCCCTAACATAGTTTCCCAAAGACTTTGCTACCATTAGAATTGTTTAAGCAGCTTTGCAAAACAACACCTCTTTATTTAATGTAGCCTCAGTCTTTACACTCCTAAAACCAGAGTGAGGCTGTGCAACTGTAATACAAAGAAAGTAGCCTCTAATCAGAGGAGAATATAGTTAGGGCTTATTACCCATTTGAAAGAGAAAGATATCCATGGACACAGGTGAGATTCACCACCAGGAAAGAATTGTGAATGCTGCCTGAATACATAATGAATGGCTCTCTTGGGCATGCACTGTCGCCGAATGGTTTTCCCATTCTTACGGGAAGTGGAAGAGATACTGCAGAATGCATCTCTCTTTTCAGGACTATTTTACTTAAGTTACAATGACTTAGTTTTGATGTGTTTAACATCATCTAAAATGGAAACACTACACAGATCCCTAGCAAGAGGAAGTTCATAAAAGGTCCGGGGAGCATGAATTCTTTCCTAGGAGTTGTCGATGAGGCATCTTAATTGAGTCCAGGTAATAAAGTCAAGATCTAGTCTGAAGATGTTTCCTTAATCAAAATTTCATTGCCACAGGAAGAGAATGCACCTTGAAAAGGACTTCATAGTAACACGCAAATAGTCCATAAATGTCTCTGCTAAAACTAGGGCAAATAGAAAAAAAAAAAACCTTGAGGTTCATATACACGTTTTGAAACCAGTAATTCCTGAGGCCCTGCGTCACTGATATCCTTGTATAAGTCCTCATGGTTTTGAACTGCATAGTGAGGTTAGTTGGCCTTGATTGATTTCTATGCCATAAAAAGGCCAGAAGCAGTGAACTCACAGACTTCCAGAGGACCTGAGTCACTGGGGAGGAGGTGAACTGGTGTGATCCAGTCATTAGTAGTTCTAGGCTGGCTAAATCATTTTTTGTGGTTGGCAGAGCCTTTGATTTATTCTGTGGTAGAATCATGTCTTCAAGGCATTCATCGAAAACTACATTGTACATTTTACAAAATCAGTCATGCACTAACATAGTAAAATAAACGAGCATCCTATGTAGATGACCCTGAAGGTTGTAGGTCAGAACGCTAGAATGCTGGGGGCGTGAGGCAGCATGAAAATTGTGGTTGCTTGGAGTGTTGCCTAAGAGCATCCTCAATGACTAGGCCAAAGGTGGTGATAGACCCAGAAAGAAGTGAGGAGACACTGACAATAAACTCTGCCTGTGGTCATGTCAATTAAGGAGTCACCTGGGAAGTCTGGATTGGGACAGGGCTCAAGATTCTGTACTTCTGTCTGGCTCCCTCCTACCGACTACAAAATGGGTGCAGTTGGACCTTGGATTATTCTTAAGTCACTGAAGACCCTTTCATTATGGTTTCTGAAACAGCACGAAGCTAGAATCCTGTCTTTTGTATCTATTCTGACACCGTTAACCTTATCCCTTTAGGAAATGTCCTACTTTTGTGACACGGGGCATCAGATGAAGGCCTTCTCTGGTAGAGTCCCTGGGAGAAATAAAAGCTCTGAGTGCAGGGAAGCTGCTGGGCACTCCGGAAAGTATCATCTCATCCTGCCACACGGCTGGTAGTGTCCTGTTTGCCAACCGCTGACGGCTAGCTGAGAGCCCTGGCTATCTGTCTGACATCCCGTCTTCTCTCTCACTCCTGGGCAATTGTCTGGAAAGAAAACTGAAGAGAATCTGGAAGGCAATGGGGCTCTAAAGTGTGTCAGAAAGGGACTCTAATGTTTTGATGTTTTTGAAAATTAAGTGTCATTTTGTAGCACTTAAGCGTCATAAATAATTTCGTGAACCTAAGAGAACACAGCTTCCTGCCTTTCTGAGTCCTAGTTTTGAAAATCCATAAAATTGCTAAAGGGGCTTTTACTAGATCTCTCAAGGGACACAAAGCCCTTATAGCCTATGAAAGTTGTTTTTTTGTTGTTGTTGGTTTTTTTTTCTTTTTTTTTTCTTTCCTTTTAGAAAAATGAGTTGAGGCGACTTACTATTCACTGGGAAAGCTTTAACATTGAGATGGAGAAACTGGTTTCCTGATGATAATGGGAAACTAAGGTGGGGATTATTAGGAGGTTGGATGCCACTTTTTGTCCTGATGCCGTCAGGTAGGAGAGAGAGCACCCCTCTTGCAGAAGCTGAAAGCCATTCGGTGCCTTCTCGCAGGCAGACCAGACCAGCAGACTCGTCACTGCACTGCTTGGCATTTGACTCTAATGAATTACAGGCTCTGATAATCTGTCATGGCAACATGATTGCCTTTGATTGCTTCTCATAAATTCTGATGGGAAGGATACAGGCATGGGAGTCACTGCCTTCCATCTTATTTCTTTCCCACAGGAAATCTCTGAGATAAATTTCCATTTTCTTGTGGCAAAAATTGAGGCATTCCACGGGCTCAGGGATCCACTTTGAAGGGAAAGGTTGCTTTGGGACACTTTATCCTTTGGCTACATTTCCTGTGTGTTTAATCATCTTAGCATTGTTGTTCAAGCCAACATTTTCTTCCCTTGCCATCTACTCCACTAATGACCCTATTGGCTCTTTACCAAATATATCGCAAACTACAGGCTGTGCAGGTAACTGGTGATCTATGTCTAGGTAATGTAGGTTGTGTTTTTGTGTGCTTATGTGTATGTGTTTGTAGCTTTGTGTGTCTGCTTGTGTAGGCTAGAAGAAGCTGACATGTGCTGTGTTCATCAATCATGTTTTCCTTAGCTTTGAAAACAAGGTCTCTCACTGAACCTGAAGTTCTTGACTTGGCTAGACAAACTAACCAACAGGACCCTGGAATCCTCTTGTCTTTACTCACTCATCACTGGGAGTGTTTGTGTCTTGAGTTTTAAGCAGGTGCTGGGGATCCAAATCTGGTTCCTCATGCTTGTACAGTAAGTATTTTATTGACGGAGTCACCTGTACAGACCCCGAATGTATTATTTCTGAACACAGAACCAGGGATTTTTGTCTACCATATTGAAAAAAAAAAAGGGCAAACCCCAAATGATTTCTCTATCATCGGAACTTTTAGGCCCCAAGAGGCTGACACTCACTTCAGATACTGCACTCCGTCAGGGGTGGCGGGTACGTTGTACCTTCTCATGTACTCATGCATCTCTGGGAAGCTCTGCCGCACGTAGTCCTCAGCACTGCTTTCCCGGACAGTTCCGAAACGGAAGCCTTGAGAAGGATGGTGGAGCTACCAGGGAGAAAAAGAAAGGGCTCTAACAGGCAGCACTCATTTACTTACTTGTCTAAAACATTTTCATTTGCCATTATGAGTCAAAATTCAACGATCGAGCCCATTTTAAACATCTAAAGGCACTAGCATGCAAACAAAGTGTGCAGACACAGACATTGGCATATGCTTGGTTGTACTCAAGCCTGTTCTGCCCTCAGAAGGAAATACATAGGCATGACAAACCGAGTGTACAGAACAGCTATTTTGCTTCATATTGAGAACCTAGTACCTTTTCCTCTTTTTTTCAAGAATGTTACTATAGTTACATAGTGTGTGTGTATGTGTGTGTGTGTGTATGAGTGGGTGGTTGGGGAGTACATAGGCCATGATGTACATGTGGAGATCAGGAGACAACTTGTAGGAGTCACATGTCTCCTTTCACTGTGTGGGTCCTGGGAATCAAACTCAATTCATCATCTTGGTGGCAATCACCTTTATTTTAGTTATCTTGGTGGCTCCCTAGTAGACAGAATTCTTGAGGCAATGCCCAAATAGGCATGTACAAACAATACCATACTGAGAATCAAATACTAAAACATATCTTTGTGATTAAAATTTAGTAGTTAAAACTGTACAAAAGTTAAGTTCATGGTATCCTGGAATGAGACTATACCTTGCCCAATGCTGTGAATACTTTGATTTCATGTTACTAATCCTGATGCTGTATTCCATGTTAAATACATTGAGCTTACTTCTGGTGTTGCTGTGCATTATTCTTTCTTTTTTTTTTTTTTTTTTAAGTAGTTGCAGAGTGCAGCGCTGAGTCATGCTGTGTATTTTGTCAAGCGGAACAGTGCCTGAGGCAGGCACAAGGGAGGAGGGGACAGCAGAATAGAGCCAGGAATGTCCTAGGTTTCCAGGATTCAAGACCTCACGTGGAGGGGACAGCGCACCGAGCCCCCTGCTGAGACATTCTTCATTGAGGGAAATAAAGATATGGCACAGTGAGACCGGTTTTAACCCAGGCTTTTTCAGATCCAGGTCAGCTGGCCTTGGTGAGTTCCCGATAGAACATCCCCATTGTCTCAGTGTATGGGTGCACCCCTCGCGATCCTGAGTTCCTTGCTTGTGCTCTCTCTCCTTCTGCTCCTGATTTGGACTACTGAGACCTCAAGAACAATGGCAATGGGTTTTTGATCCTACTGTACCTATTGGTTTCGTGGGAGACTAGGCAGTTTCGTGGATGCTCACCTTACTAGACCTGGATGGAGGTGGGTGGTCCTTGGACTTCCCACAGGGCAGGGAACCCTGATTGCTCTTTGGGCTGACGAGGGAGGGGGACTTGACTGGGGGAGGGGGAGGGAAAGGGGAGGCGGCTGTGGGGAAGAGACAGAAATCTTTAATAAATAAATAAATAAATAAATAAATAATAAAAAAAAGATATGGCACAGCATGCACATGGCATCTTCCTCAGCTCAATTGCAGAGACACACTGATGTGGGTCTGCCAAAGAGAAGAAAGAGCTGGGATTGGGTCATATTATAAACATGTTCATGTGTCAGCAGTATTATAGAGGTGGTTCCTCTCCTCACTGTTTCAACTGTTTCAGTAAGGCCTTTCAGCTTCTGTGTTCTGCTTCATACTGACATATTTTACTTTACTGATACTGATCTGAAGTCCTGGAGATGGGGTCATGAATGGACTGTGTGGACGTTCTAAACCTCATGAAATTTCAAACAACACTGCAAATAAATAAGCATTTGGAGCCAGGTGGTGGTGGCGCACGCCTTTAATCCCAGCACTCGGGAAGCAGAGGCAGGTGAATCTCTGTTAGTTTGAGGCCAGCAGGGTCTACAAGAGCTAGTTCCAAGACAGGCTTCAAAGCTACAGAGAAATCCTGTCTCAAAAAGCCAAAAGAAAAAAAATGCTTTGAAATTGTCTTCTATGGAAGACAACAACACAGAATTCTTTTTAATGAAAATAATCAGGCTTTTAAGGTATTGATATCTCACACACTAAGAACTCGCTGACTATAGGAAAATTTGATATATTTGAAGATGAGTTAATTTTGACCCATACTAAAAAATCTAATAATTGCAACAGCTAAATAATCTATATGTCAAATTTTTATGCAGTGTTACCCAATGTATAAATTTTGTTTGTGAGATATATTTAATAAAACAGGTGTTCTCACAGAAATAGAACATTTATGGGGCGTGACCCAAATTACTTGTGTTTGTATTTGTTTAAATACTATAATTTCTCAGTAATATAATTTATTTAGTCATGGTTTGCTGACACCCTATAATGTACAACTCTCAAAGTCATATCTGTAACCTGAACTCTAGATCACCTGGCTATTAACACTATTTCTTTGGAAGCTCTACTGTTGAGTATGACAGGATGCCATACTCAACCTGTTAATCATAGTTAACCCGCACACTGAACAAGCTCAACATTTTCTGTCAATATAACCTTAATGAAGCACAAACAAGAAGTGCAACTAACACCGAGGGTTTATGCTGTACACTGCTTGGTACAGAGGGGGTGTTGGAAGGTTTAGGGATAATGAGAGAAGCATCGTTATCAACAGGAAATCCTCTCGTGTTTTGTGCATGACAACTTTCATACTCTTGTCATTTGCTTTTCTTAAAAATCCGTTTCCTTGCCAGGCGATGGTGGCGCATGCCTTTAATCCCAGCACTCAGGAGGCAGAGGCAGGTGGATCTCTGTGAGTTCGAGACCAGCCTGGTCTACAGAGCTAGTTCCAGGACAGGCTCCAAAGCCACAGGGAAATTCTGTCTCGAAAAACCAAAAACCAAAACCAAAACCAAACAAACAAACAAACAAAAAAACCCAAAAATCCGTTTCCTTTCATTGTTGCTTTCATGCTTTCAGAACAAGGCAACCTGTTTTCCTGTGTGATACTCTAATGGAAAATTACAGTGGGCTTCTCAGCAGCTATAGAATAATAGAAGCATAAATGAGATCTAAGAAGCGATTGATGCATCCCTGTGGGTCAGTGTAGTCCGTCCTGTGCATAATTCAGACAGCCAGGGATGTGAGGAAGCTTGAGTCAGGGACAGAGGATAAAGATTTACAAAGAGTAAAGCATTTGAGCTGCATTCCAGCCACCACCAGGCAGGCCCAGAGAGACAAACATTTCTTTTAAGATTCCACTAACTACTCTACCAGCTCACCCAATTCTGTTTCTATTGGACCAACCTCTTCTAGCCTTGGGGAAAGAATCTAAGGTTAAACTATCTGTGTGTGAGTTGTTCAGTGTTAATGGAATACTTAACTCCACCTGCAGCACACAGAGCCAGCACCAGGCAGACATTTCCCAGGAAGGAGAGAAACGTCTCACAACAAATGCGAGCAGGCTCAGGGAATGAGCGCCTGTGTCCAAGGTGAATATGAGGCTTCAGTTTAAAAGCAATCACAATGAAGAGTGGTCCATACCAGACCTACCATTTGCACCTACCAGAGAGCAGTACTTATGATTATAAAAGGGAGGAAGCACTGGGCTTGGTACAGCACCTTCCACTCTGGGGTAAAGGGCCATTTTTAATTTTCCCAAATGAATGGTGTCTCTCAATTTTCTAGCCCTTCCCATGTGACATTATTTTATACACTTAAACCCGAAGGATTCTATAATATTGAACTGGTTCAGAGGAGCTTCTGCATGATCTAAACACTCTTTTTTATAATTTTATTGAGTTGTACATTTTCCTCTGCTCTCCTCCCTGCCTCCCCCCCCCCCCCCCCGTTCAACCCTCTCCCATGGTCTCCATGCTCCCAATTTACTCAGGAGATCTTGTCTTTTACTACTTCCCATGTAGATTAGATCTGCGTATGTCTCTCTTAGAATCCTCATTGTTGTCTAGGTTCTCTGGGATTGTGATTTGTAGGCTGTTTTTTTTTTTTTTTTGCTTTATGTTTAAAAACCACTTATGAGTGACTAATAAGATAATTGTCTTTCTAGGTCTGGGTTACCTTACTCAATATGATGTTTTCTAGCTCCATCCATTTGCCTGCAAATTTCAAGATGTCATTAATTTTCTCTGCTGTGTGGTAAACAATTGTGTAAATGTACCATATTTTCCTTATACATTCTTTGTTTGAGGGACATTAGGTAGTTTCCAGGTTCTGGCTTTGACAACAATACTGCTATGAACATAGTTGAGCACATGTCCTTGTGGTACATCTAAGCATCCTTTGGATATATACCCCAAAGTGGTATTGCTGGGTCTTTAGGAAGGTTGATTCCTAATTTTCTGAGAAATCGCCGTACTGATATCCAAAGGGGTTGTACCAGCTTGAACTCTCACCAGCAATGAGGGAGTGTTTCCTTTACCCCCAACCTCTCCAGCATAAATTGTCATCGATGTTTTTGATCTTCGCCATTTTTTACAGCTATAAGATGGAATCTCAGAGTTGTTTTGATTTACATTTCTCTGATGGCTAAGGATGTTGACCATTTCCTTAAGTGTCTTTCAGTTATTTCATATTCTTCTGTTCAGAGTTCTCTGTTTAGGTCCGTACTACATTTTTTGTTATTAGGTTATTGTTCTTTTGATGACCCATTTCTTGATTTCTTCGTATATTTTGGACATCAGCCCTCTGTCTGATGTGGGGTTGGTGAAGATTTTTTCCATTCTGTAGGCTCCCGTTTTGTCTTGTTGACTGTGGCCTTTGCTTTACAGAAGCTTTATAGTTTCAGGAGGTCCAATTTATTAATTGTTTCTCTCAGTGTCTGTGACACTGGGGTTATATTTAGGAAGTAGTGTCCTATACCAATACATTCAAGTATACTTCCCACTTTTTCTTCTATGACGTTCATTGTGGCTGGCTTTATGTTGAGGTCTTTGATCCATTTGGACTAGAGTTTTGTTAATGGTGATAGATATGGATCTATTTTCATTCTTCTACATGTTGATATTCAGTTATGCCAGAGCCATTTGTTAAATATGGTTTCTTTTTTTCATTTGATATTTTTGGCTTCTTTGTCAAAAATC